GGGGGTCGAATGACGATTTGCCAGGGGTTGCCCGGGAGTCTCCCGCTATTAGATAGTGGCTCCCAGCCACCCGGGAGAGAAACACTTTCTCCCGGAAAGGTTTACTCTGCTCGATCAAGCAGAGTAAAACTTTCCCTGCGATCATTTTTATTTTCTGACATCGGGGGCCGCCATAAGTCGGAAAAAAACGAAAAACCTCTGCCAATCAGTAGAGGGGAACCTGCAGTTCTCAATCAGGTCTTCTCCTAGTGATTGACAGCAGCAGAGGGCAGGTGCAATAGCTAGTTTGCTATTGCAAAGTGAAATAGCCAATAGGAATCTAGCTATGCATTCCTATGGTGTTTTTTTTTTTATTATTCTGATGGCGTACGCCAGTGGTTCTTAACCTGTGGGTCGCTGTGTGATTTCTGCTGTGCTAGGTAAGACTCCTCCTCAGCCCTCTCCTAGCGCAGCAGTGCCAGTGCTCCCGCCACGCCGACAGATGTCGCTGCAGCAGCTGCGTCATCCCTAAAATTCACTGTTGGGGGGTCACCACAACTTGGCAAATGTTATCAAAGGGTCCCGGCCCTAGAAAGGTTGAGAACCACTGCCCTAATGGGTATGCACTCACCGCAAAAGAGTGGCCGTATGCTTTTTTTTTCAACCAGCACACATTAACATGAAGTCATGTTGCTCATTTTGGCTTGGGTCAAATTTCAGTAGGAAATCTTTTGTTACCCCAAGCATTCAAAATATAATTCCCATAAATGTTTGCAACACAGTAGCATTATAGGAGAATGTTTGGCCAATCACCAGGCGCAAGTGTTACATTAAATAGAAAGGTTGAGTGCACATGAATTTTAAGAGGGCTGGCCGTGGAAAGGAGTGTTAAAATATGTACATGTTTCATGCAAGCGGACCTGTATTTTTCTCAGTATGGGCAAATTACAAGTTTACTTTAATCAAGACAGTTCTGTTAATTACAGTGCAATTTGCGATCTCATCCACTATGTTAATTCTTGGGCTCTGGAGGACTGCAAGAAATATTTTAAAACAGGTCATTTAAAGAAGTTGGATTTGAGTATGCATATAGAGGAGTAATTACCATAGATAGAATTCCTCCAAAATATATAATGATAATATTTCTAATATTATGCAAACAGCAGTGCAAGCTTACACTAAAACAAATAGTAAAGCTAAAAACAATTAGTCATATTCAACTGGACTTGTTCTGTAAAGTAGAAGGCATTTCACTAGTTACCCAAGGTAGAAGAATTAAGGAACCCACCTGGATTAGTGGACAAGTAAAATGTTCAGTTGAATGTGACTAACTACTACTAGCGTTTGTACGAAAAAAACAAAACATGATAGTTTTTGTATAAGGGATTAATCTGGTCCTACAACTTTGATTGAAAATATCCACTACTGCTCCATAACAACCGCAGATTTGGAACTTTATGAAATGAAAAATACTTGTTACATTAGTCATGGGAATCCAAAGATAATAACAAACAACTCTGACATTAAATGTGCTAGGTGATGCAGCGATACTGGTATCCGTGCAGATACTATTTGGGAGAGTCCTCGCACTTGCCCAAATGCTCCGATACCTTCCCCGATACCGGAGCTTCCGGTCAGAGGGTGATTTCCTCCGACCGGCAGTGCCGCGAGGGAACATGGTGTTGGCTTCCTGGCCAATCAGCATTGAGATGGCTTCCTGGCCAATCAGGAACCCGGGAGGCAGGTCATTACGGAAAGCCGGCTTCACGGCCAATCAGCAACATCATGGAGCCGTTAAATCACTGGCTTCCTGGGCAATCAAGAAGCAGGGCACTCATCCCCGCCTCCCCCCGATCTACTGAGCCGACCTGTGACAGTCTCATTGTCACAGGTCGGCTCAAATTATGAGGCTGAGTGAAAATCACTCGCCTCATAATTCTCCTTTAATTTGTAAACGATGGGTTACCCAAACTGTAATCAACTGTAAGTTGTTTTTTTAATGTGAAAGAGCCTACACTGTTGAAGTGTTTTAAGCACTGTGCACTAACTTAGGAAGTCTGGGGTGTTCTTCAGGTTCTCTATATAAGCAAATCATGCTTGAAGAAGAAGCTATTATTATTTATTTAAAAAAAAAAATTAAAAAAAAAAAAAAGGGAGAAAGAAAAACCTAAAACAAAATGCAAAGTTAACACATCAACAATTCCAATGTAAACATACAACTATAATAGGATATATGAAACATGGCATGGATAGGCATTAAGACAGCACTTACCAGAGGCATAGATTGGCCATGCAGTGAACTGCAGCTCTCAGTAACTCAGGGTCTGTTTTGCTGGCGTCACTAAATTGTACAAGGATTCCAGTTGGTCCCAACAAATATGGAAGATACTGTTTTTAAGAAATCAAAACAAATTGGCATTCAATATGTCAAAAAAAATAAAATCAAAAGATTAGGGAGTTCATTTTAGAAATTGCAACATTTGGTCATGGTAAAAGCTAGCAGTAGTTGGTAATATTATTTGGACTTGTTCTGAGAATGAGAAGGCATTTCACCACTTATCCAAGTTTGATAACTTGAAGAGGAGTGGTGAAATGTCCACATGAATGTGACTAACTAGTAGACATGTGCACCAGCAAAAAATTTGTTTAGTTTAGTTTTTCGGGTCCGAAATTAAATTAGTTTTGGACGAAATTCATTTATGAAAAAAAAACAAAAAAAAACTTGATCCATTACTTGGCCTGGGGTGGAATTGAACCTGCAACCTTAGCTATGGCAAGCTTGTCCTCTATCCACTACTCTATAGCCTCTGTACTGTAAGCATAGAAGCATTTGATATATATGAATGCAATATGTAGCATTTGACAGCTGAGAATGTCAAATGGGCGGAGCGAGCCGTGACGTCATGGTTCGCTCCGCCCATCTGTTCACACAGACTGAATGTCATTTTTTTGCGGCTGGTTTTCGTCATGGTCGGTTGGTCGTCTGCGGCGGGACTTTTTTTATTTTGGCGGGGGTCCTGCATCCTGATCCTGACTCTGGATTACATCGATGGAGCCATTTTTTTTTTTAATGAAAGAAAATGTCAAAAATTGACTGTTTGCTTTCGTCCAATAACTAATTTCGGGAAATCGGGAATTTCGGATTCGTTTGCATTCGTCTTAGCTATAATTCGGAATTCGGATGCATCCGAATCTCCGAAAATTCGTCCGAAACGAATTTCGGAACGAACCAAATCGCACATGTCTACTAACTACCAATAGCTACCCTGTATCAAACATTTGTTTGTAACTTTTTTTAAAAATATATAACAATGATATAAAAGATTGTAAACATTGAAATAAATCCAAAATTGAAAACAAAGAAAAATGACAATGTTTCATATGTAATATCTTACGAGTACAGGGAATGAATGTTCCTTTAGATGTAGAAGGGAAAAAAAAAATACTAGGGCTTTTGGCCCACTTTTACTTATCCACACATCAAAGTAACACAGTATTCTTACTGTTTTCAGCCGCCAGGCTTTTTTACCACACAGTTCTGTCTATTCCTCCTAAAGATGGACATACACCTATAGATTTTCTGCAAATTTTCTATGGTCCGATGGAAAAAGTGCAACAGATTCCTCCATCTATGCTAAACTACCGCCCCAGAACGCTGCCCAGCTTAATCTATGCGATTCGGTGTGCTCGGGGTGTGAACCGCACCAGGACATACTGGATATGGAGTGACTGAGCCCCAAGGCCTCGCTCACACCATCCGCAGTGTGTTCCGGCCGACTCAGTTTGTTGTGGGGCATGGCGGCGCATTGAAGTGAAATGGCACAGCAGCCACCAACCCCCCCCCGGGGCTGCAATACGATGGGCCACACGGGAGCGCAGGGCACATCAATGCCTGTGGTCCGGTCAGAAAAAACGCTGCAAGCACTATTTTATCTGATCGGACAGCGGGCATTGATATGCCTTGCGTTCCCGTGCGGCCGATCGCATTGCGGTCTGGGGGGGCGTGGCCCCCTCCCACCCCACAACAAACTGAGCCGGCTGCAATGCGATCCAGTGCGTTCTGGCCACAATTGGGCCAGAACGCACTGAGGATGGGGTGAACGAGGCCTAAATGTAGTTCACGCGGTGTGCTGCGAAATTTACAGACGCAGCTCATAATCTACAGCTGACTACAACTCCCCACAGCCCAAAATCTTAATTTAACATTTCAAATTTTTTCTGGAGTACTCCTTTAAAGAACTCTGGGCAAAACGTTTATTAACCCTTCCTTCACAGTTTATGCGAGCATAACTTTTTTTCCTTTTTTTAGCCAAAAACGAGCAGTTAAAAAGGAGAATTGAGGCGAGTGATTTTCACTCAGCCTCATAATCTGAGCCGACCTGTGACAATGAAACTGTCACAGGTCGGCTCAGTAGAGCGGGAAGTGAGCGAACACATACTGTCGCTCGCTTCTCGATCTATCCCTGCAGAGAGCCCTGACTGTCACTCACAGCTCCCCACTGTCACTCACAGCTCCCCGCAGGGATTGCCCCCCTCCCCACTCCGATCCTCCTGCACTGACTGGCGGAACGGAAGGGGGCGGGCACAGCTGGCTCTGCCTCTGGATAGGCAAAGCCAGCTGTCACTCACGCAGCTGGGTGGAGCTCGACAGCAATGTCGGGATCCGTTCCGGCTGCGGCGTCTCTGTATACTGCGAGCTGTAGCTCACGGTATACTGAGCTTTGGGTCACGGGAGACCGCTAGTTTGTGTTCTCCCGTGACCCTTAAAAGACCTATGGGGAAAAGCCCTGACCCCATAGTTCTCCTTTAACTTTTGCAACGTGGTAGTAGCCCCACTGCAAGGGTTAATGTTTTGCCCGGAGCTCTTCTTTAATATGGTAAGCCAACAAGTAGTTGGTTGCTACATGCCCTACTTTCCCTTTGTTCTTTTGTATTTTCTTCCTGATAAATGATCCCCATTGCCTTGTAAACTGAACGTGACAAACAATATCAAACCTAGCAGGAAGTAGTGTGCTTACCTTCTGGCACTTATGCCCATTGCTGTAAACTAAAGCTGCCAACGCATGCAGGATTTCCACATGGGTCCAGGAGCTACATTGTTTCAAAGCAGAAACTGAAAATCCAAGGAGAAAATCCAAATTCTGCTCATCAACAATTACCTGTCACCAAAGGCAAAAATCATCAAAGGTTATTTCAGATCAAAAGCATAGAAAGATCTGTAATTATGCGTGTGATAAAGAGGCAGAGTATTTAATTATGCATGTTAGTTGGAGAAGCAGACTGCCATCATCTTACCATCTTTTATTTATTAGGCACATTCCACATAAAAAGGCTTTACAAAATAATGAATATGCTGCTTCCTATTTACATAGTACGATGGCAGTTCTAGGAGGCAGTGGTGGGAAACGTTATGAAGTATGATGGATTTAGAGAAATTTAATATTTGCCCTGAAACGTATCTAAACCCAAGAACAAGAATTTAATATATTACAGTTTACTAGTCCTTAGATGGGGGGGCTGCATTAAGGGGTATCCCCCCCCCCCTTTACTTTCACCTGTTGGTCCTTCCAGTAATACACTTCCTGTCCTAGGGCTTATTTACCCTAGGACAGGAATACAAAACCAAACTCCCTCCCCTCAAATCCATAACATAGTGGGAGCTGTTATATAGATCTCAGAAAGAGATGGGAACTGATAAGTGAAGCAGATGACACAGGAAGTCATCATTTCACTAGATTTCTGGCAGGATCAACAGGTATTTTTTCTGCACTTACTGAAAACATATAATAAAACATTTTCAATGGTATTGTTTAGCAAAGCAAAAGGGAGCAAACAAGAGAATTTAATTGTTAGGGTTTACCAACACTATAAAACAAACTGTGGCCAGGCTACAGACATTGAAATATTTACATTTTATTATTAAGAAGTAACACATAAGCTTCAAAGTGTAGTTCCTTGTAGCCAAATTGGTACACCATTTACTTTATATTTGTTATATGTTCCCATTCACATAGCATAAAAAAAAACAAATAATTGCTCAAACATCCTACCTAGTCTATAGGTGATGCTTTAAAGAAGAACTTTACCCATATCTTTGAAATGACAACAAGCACACCTTTAGAAATGTTTAGTAATGACAAATCACATACTTCTAGATAATTGCAGGCTGTGTATTCATTGCATATCTTGTTTTCCTTTTCCTCTCCATTCTTCTCATAGTGGCCATTTATACCAAGAGCAGATTCATATATTTCCCTTTAATTCCTGCAACTCTGGCACATGTGACTAGGACATGTGACTATGAATATCATCTCAGAGGAGGAAAATGCCTTTCCCCGAGATCTCATGAGATTACAGATGAGGGCTGGCGTCTATGTTTGCCAGCCCGTAGAACTGATCATGTGGCTTTCCATCTGCCCAAATCATTTTTGGCGTGTAGCTGACAGTAGACTACAAGTGTTAAATGCTCAACTTTATCACTGAAAGAAAAAGTCTCACATTTTCATCAGAACAGCAATAGATGGGAAATCTTCTAATGGGGACACTAGTTCTGGTGACCCTGCTGGCCACCAGGGATTTCTCCTTTCTTTGCAAGGATTTCTTGTCACTTTCTGTTGTGGTTATTGGACACAAGTGAATGGAAAAAAAAATTATAATTGCAGTTTGTTTTTCATCTTTTTTTTTGCTTTCTGATAACCTGCAACCTTCTTAAGCCACCTACATGCACCAGCTTCAGCTGCACATCATGCTCCGGACAGTTTTATTTATTCAGAATCACCAGGTATTATTTTAAATAAAAGTTGTAGATTTCAAGAGATTGAAAACAACTTTCCAAAATTACAGTAACAGATTTAATCGTGTCTACCGGTGCTGTTTATAAGCGGCAGGTGATAGCAAGGGTGTTTGCTATAGTGCACATTTCCAAAGCCGCCTGTTGGCTTTCAGATGTAGGTGACCCCCATATGCCCCTGAAAGTGCGCTTCCCCCCCCAATCCCAGCATGTATCCTGGGCTATGCTGCCTTTGCTGATCTCCCCGCCTGTGAATGAACCAAGAAGCAACAAGATTTTCGTCAAAAATGATCAAGCACGTCAAAGGTAAAGCTAGTGGTCTAAAAGAAGAGGACCTGTCACTTCTGTCATGATATAAACACTGGGCATGAGTGGGCAACTCTGGCACGCCAGCTGTTGTGGAACTGCAGGTCCCGTGAGACATTGCAAGACTGACAGTTACAGGCATGACTCCCAGATGCATGTTGGGCTTTGTAGTTAAAACACAGCTGGAGGGCTGCAGTTGCCCACCTTCAGCTTCTGTCACAGCTTCTGTCATAGAAGCTGTGTCAGAAGCTACAGTCTGTCGAGTGATCCATAAGGTATATTGCGTTTGTGTGCACCAAGATTAATTTGTGTATTTTTTGTTTTTAGTGAAAATGTGGGTTTGAGAAACAGTTGTGCGATCAAGAGACATAAAACATTGCAACTGCCACCATTTTATTGTACAGGGTCCCTGGTCACTGGGGGGTGGGGGGAGGTTAACTAATCTTCAGGCCTAAAAAGTGCATTTGAACATGAACAATGGAAATAATGTCTGCAGTAGTGAAGTGGTTAAGCTTTTGTGGCAATTTAGTGACTGGGTCTCCACCTACTAAAGCTGGGTGCACATGCTATGTGAAGTCAATGTTTCTTACCTGCAGTCTGTTAAGCAGATAGTGTATGAGTTGACAAACTTTACTGACAAGATGTTCCTGGTTGAGCTGAACAAGGTGGCACGCTTGAACGAGTAAGGCACAAACCACCTGAAAAGAAAAAAAAAATTATTTCATAAAGTGATAATAAACTCACTTTTTTGATCATTTAAGCTGGTCATACAAACTGAATGTACCAACAACTATGTAGTGAAAGGACGTGCCTGACTGGATACACATTCATTGGATGTATAAAAGGTAGGTCCTCATATTACACAGTTTTGGTAAATCTAAAGTTGATTGTACAGACATTGTAACCTCTATGGTGGGCATAAGATGTTGGTGGCAGCAGTTAAATCATTGCCCTTGGTTTCCATCATAAGGGGGGCTCCTTGGCTTGCACAGTCCTATAAAGCTTTGCTGGAGCTGCTTTTATTTGCCCACAGAATATCTGCTGCGGCTGACTTTGCTGAGCTTGTGCAGGTAGCCCAGAGGAACAGAATGATAATGTCATGTCTAGGAATGATGGGGCATGTACTACCACCGTGGGTGCCGCATTTTGATGCGGGAGTGCCTGCTCCCCAACCGGACGTTCAAGGGAGGCCATTCATTTTCAATGGAGGATGAAGCCTGTGCCAATCACATAAAGTGAATGTGAGTAGTAGGTGGAGCCTGCTGAGCCCCTCCCACAGCTCAGCAAAGCAGATGCACGGCAAGGTAATATATGGGTTTTTAAAGGAAATCGGTGTGCACAAAGTGGATTTATATCCTCTGTGGCTTGTAGGGAAAATATTTACGTTAAGGTTTCAGTATGCAGAGTTCAGTTTTCAATTAAACTTTTATTATATTCCTCAAAGGACTACAGCTACCCAGTGTAGTGGAAAAAGGCTCACCACACACGTTACAATAAACTTTAGATTTACCAAAACTATGTAATATGAGGAAGAGAAAAGAAAACACCGGGCGCCTGACCTGGTGCAATAATCCTTTTATTGATGGAAATAATTTAAAAAAACCTCTTTATACTCACAAACGGAGCAAGAACAATGTCACATTGGACTTGTAGTCCTCACTAGGTGGACTGCTGTGCAAACAGCGCTCTGAAGAAGGGGAAGTTCCCCGAAAATGCATTTAGCAGAGCTCATGAACAATTCATCTATTTTCACAGCAATCCACCCAGTGAGGACTACAAGTCCAATGTGACATTGTTCTTGCTCCGTTTGCTATTATAAAGAGTTTTTTATTATTTCCATCAATAAAAGGGATTATTGCACAAGGTCAGGCGCCCGGTGTTTTCTTTTCTTTTCCATGCAGTTTCCAGGATCCCTCGTCAGTCACGGGGCGGCCTTACTGGATTTTCATTAACTCTTTGGACCACAGGAGGGTTTCTTTGGTTGTGAAGTTGGCGCTGGTCGTGTCATTTTTGTGGCTTGGGAATTATGTAATATGAGGACCTACCTAATCTATCCAATCAATCAGTATGCCATTAGGCAGGCTCTTGTACTACATAGTTGTTTGTACCGTGACCCTTGGAACTACCAACAACTTTAGTTCTACCACTTATACCCAATCCTGCCGGCACTTGTACTACAAAGTTGTCGGCAGATCGAAAGGCGATTGTAACGTGTGGTGAGCTTTCCATGCAGTGTGGAAGAAACCTCATCCCAGGTAGCACTGAATGCAATCTGTACTATAGGGACAGCAGTCTGGACGGAGTACTCACCTCCTCTCCTATCCCCGGGGACCCCTTGCTATAATCCTGGGAGATAAGCAGATCCAGCAGCAGATTGAGCTCTGTTCGGAAGGTCTCCGTATCTGCGGGCTGCAGGCTATACATCCTGCTCATGTGCCGTTGGAAATCCCTGACAGCAATCTGCTGACTGTATAGCTCCGGGTCCCCAGATGAGGTTAAGAATGATTCGAACGAGGCAACCGGCAACCGTCTGCCATGAGACATCCCTGCCAATCCTCCAGCGCCTTCCTGTGCGGCCATCTTCCTGAAGGGCAGGCCGTTGCCGGGGCAACCAACTGTCACTTCCGGGATCACTGACGTGGAAGTACGCCATCATCCTGCGCATCCTGGTCCTCCTATTCTACCCAGTACAAATAATAGATGTTGTATTTCTTCATAGTGGTAGCTAGTTTAGGAAGTTAGTCACTTAGCTTCAGGTTATCTTTAAAGGGGCAGTCCACTTTAGATCAAATACCTCTGCTTTCTCCTCAGCTGTCCCTGATTTAAAGGGTAGTTCCACCTCTAACACCTTGTTCAATGTTACACTTAGATTTAGGGAACATGGTGCCATTCCAGACCCTAAACCTGTCCCTGCACTTCTCTGCAGAGGCTCCTGTGTATTTCTTAATTTTGTGTGGCTCCGCCTGCACAGTGGCGTTATTCATTCACAGGATCTGTAAATGAAAAAACTACTTCAGGAGAGGTGTGGATTGTGATGTAACCACCCTTAGTCCAATCAGAGAACGCTTTGTATTAATTAATAAAAATACACGGTGTTCTCTGATTGGTGCTGTGTCGTGCAAGCAACCCTTCGGGACAGAGGTGGGCAAACTCTGGAACTCCAGCTGTTGTGGAACTACAAATCCCATGAGCCATTGCAAGATTCTCAGCCACAGGCATGACTCCCAAAGCAAGATGCATCATGGGATTTGTAGTTTCACCACAGCTGGGGGACGAGTTTTTGGCACCGCTGCTCTGGGGGGAATTTATCGAAAACATAAGAAGCAGACAGAATCTGGAGTAGTTGCCCATTTACAACCAATTAGCATCTATCTTCAGCTTGTACAGTTAAGCTTTGAAAATGAAAGACAAGCTGTTTGGTTGCCATGCACAGCTGCTCCAGATTCGGTCCGCACCACCTTTGATAAATTCCCCTCAAAGTGTTTTCAGCAGAGGACAGCACAGCACAGTACAAGAACCCAGAAGGTCACAGCACACCGAGTCTCCCCTGACAGATCAGAGGGAGATCAGCAGGCTTCTAGGAGCTGATTTCTCCTCCGATCACCAAACCCGGAAGTGATGTGTATTACATCACTTCTGGTGTCACTTTGCACATTCTCTGGCTCTTAGAGCCAGGAGAAGAAGATGGGAAAGCAGATATCTGCTTCATCAGCTTTTTTGGGGTCCCGAGGTGACGTTAGGGGTCTGAAAGAGAACCTGTCACATCAAATTTGCTATTTCATAGGGGGCTTGTTAGGAAAAGTATTGGGAGAGGAAAATATACTCTTCTCAATAGTTAGAGCCAGGGTGTGACACTGCAGCTGTCACATTCCAGCTCTACGGATGGAAAAATGATCACAAACCACTGATCACTCAGCTCACAGCTTCTTCCTGAAGAGATTGATGGCTGTCATTCACGGCTCTCCTTGGGATTCCTCCCTCCCCTCAGGAGAGGGGCAGGCACAGCTGGCTCTGGCTCTAGAGAGGCAGAGCCTGCTGTCAATCAGGCAGCGGGGTAGATCCCGACAATATTGTCAGGATCTTTCTCGGCAGTGGTGCTGTTCTGCGCTGTCAGCATATAGCGGGAAGTAGCCAACTCTATGCTGAGTTTGGGTCACTGGAGTTTGGCCTTTTCTCCTTTATAAAATAAAAAATATATTTTTTCCCAATTGACCAGTTTGATCATTGATACTTTAAAAACAAGTGTGTGTATATATATTTATATATACACACACACTATATTGCCAAAAAAAAAGCCTGCCTTTACACGCACATGAACTTTAATGGCATCCCAGTCTTAGTCTGTAGGGTTCAATATTGAGTTGGTCCACCCTTTGCCACTATAACAGCTACAACTCTTCTGGGAAGGCGTCCACAAGGTTTAGGAGTGTGTCTATGGGAATGTTTGACCATTCTTCCAGAAGCCCATTTGTGAGGTCAGGTACTGATGTTGGACGAGAAGGCCTGGCTCGCAGTCTCCGCTCTAATTCATCCCAAAGGTGTTCTATCGGGTTGAGATCAGGACTCTGTGCAGGCCAGTCAAGTTCCTCCACCCCAAACTCGCTCATCCATGTCTTTGTGGACCTTGCTTTGTGCACTGGTGCGCAGTCATGTTGGAACATGATGTCATCCCCAAACTGTTCCCACAAAGTTGGGAGCATGAAATTGTCCACAATGTCTTGGTATGCTGATGCCTTAAGAGTTCCCTTCACTGGAACTAAGGGGCCAAGCCCAACCTCTGAAAAACAACCCCACACCATAATCCCCCCTCCACCAAACTTTACACTTGGCACAATGCAGTCGGGCAAGTACCGTTCTCCTGGCAACCGCCAAACCCAGACACGTCCATCAGATTGCCAGACAGAGAAGCGTGATTCGTCACTCCAGAGAACACATCTCCACTTCTCTAGGGTCCAGTGGCAGCGTGCTTTACACCACTGCATCCGACACTTTGCATTGCACTTGGTGATGTAAGGCTTGGGTGCAGCTGCTCGGCCATGGAAACCCATTCCATGAAGCTCTCTACGCACTGTTGTTGTGCCAATCTGAAGGCCACACGAAG